AGCTTGAGTGCCCATCTTATTAACCTTGGGGATAAATTTTTCCCTGAGTACAATCTAGTTACCGCCGCATGATCAGAGTACACTGTTATCGGCGCCTTTCCAAAATAGACTCGGAACTTTTGCACTGCTAACAGAACTGCAAGTGCCTCTCTCTCGGTCGCGGAATAGTTTCTTTGTGTTTGATTTAAAGTTCGGCTAAAAAATGCCACGGGCTGCTGATTTTGCGAAAGTACCGCTCCTACCGCATAATCCGAAGCATCCGCTGAAATTTCTAAATTCTCATCCTTTTCAGGAAATTTCAACACAGGGGCTTGCGTTAATGCTTGTTTTAATTTTTCGAAAGCACTATTGGCTTCGGCCGTCCACGAGAATCTTGCCTTTTTTCTTTTTAATTTTAACAATGGCTTCAGCGATAGCTGCAAAATCTTTTATAAAGGACCTATAATATGAACAAAGTCCTAGAAAAGAAGAGAGCTTCTTTGCCGTGTTTGGAGTCGGATACTTTTGTACAGCGATTATTTTTGATTCGTCTGTCTCGATTCCTTTTTGAGATATTTTGTAACCTAAATATTTTAATTCAGGGGCTGCAAATTTGCACTTTTCGACATTAACTTTTAGACCGGCCTCATTTAATAAAGAAAACACCTGTCTTAAATCCTGTACATGTTGGTCGAGATTATCACTAGTAAATAATGATATCGTCTAAATAGATAAATGTGGACTTTCCAAGAACAGGTCCTTAACACAATGTCCATGCATCGCTGAAATGTTGCCGGGGCCCCTGAAAGGCCAAACGGCATACGCAAAAATGCATAAGTGCCAGACTTGGTTATAAAAGCAGTCTTAGGCACGTCCTCAGGCCTAACCCCTATTTGAAAATAACCAGTCGTTAAGTCTAAAGTCGTCATAAATTTGGTTGATTTTATGTTCCTTAGAATTTCTTCTATAATCGGTAACGGATATACCGGATATTTAGTTATGGAGTTTAATTTACGGTAATCAATAGCGAATCTCCATCTTTTTGGATGCGTCAAAGGATAGTCATTATTTTTCTTACATAAAACCACCGGGCTAGCATAACTACTTGAGATGGGCGTTATGATCTTTTTACGTAGCATATCGGTAATATGCCATTCTATAATTTTTTCCTTATTCTTATCATACCGGTATGGTTTTTGGCGAACTGGCATTGCATCTCCGGTGTCAATACTATGGTTAGTAACCTGAGTAAATCCTGGAATATCACTAAATAACGAAGCAAATTCACTTACCACTTGTCGGATTCTTCCTTGCTCGTCATTAGGCAGGTGGTCAAGATTTACCATCGGCGGTTCAGCCTTTTCAGTACGAACTGGTTTCATTGTCAGCTTAAGGGACGCTTCATTAAAATCCAGCGTAGCTTGTGCTTCTGAAAGAAAATCTATTCCTAAAATTAATATGTGCTTGCAGATTCTTTACTATAAAAAACATCACCTTTACTTGTTCGTCCTTGATACGGATATACAAAGGTACTTTACCTACGCACTTACATTTTTCTCCTTGCGCCGCTAACACTGTCGTATTATCCGCAATTATATATGCGGTATTTGCGAAAATACTTCCTAAAAAAATCTTCTGCCACACAGGAACACTGCGCGCCGGTATCCAGGAGTGCGGTGGCTGGGATATTATTCACCAAGACTTCAATCTTCGGAAGAGTCAAATTTTTCACCATTACTGTATTTAACTTGTAGGAAGAGGGGTTTTCGTGGCCTTCGGATTTCCGCACCCTCTCGTCAGCAGAAATCCGTTTTAGTTTAAATTATTTTTCCTTTCCGTGCTTTCCTTCTTTTCCCACTGGCCTTGAGACTTTTTTCCTGGGTTGCTATTGAACTGTCGACGTTCGCCGGCTGTTTTTGAATGCTCGGGTTTCCTTGCCCACTGATTCGCTTTTTCTCCGTAGCCGTGTGCTTGAGTTTGCTGTAGTCTTGGCGTACCAAATTGGTTTCGCTGTTGATATTGGCGTCTTCTTTCGACGTCCGCCGTTCTTCTACTTTCAAACTGGATTGCTAGCTCAAATAACTTTTCCAGTGTAGTCGGATTTCTTAATTCAATAAAGTCTTGCACTTGGGGTAGTAACCTCGGCAAAATCACTTGAATTATTTCAGGATCCGGACGGTTTCCATACAAGAGTTTGAAACGTGAATTTTTCTTAAAATAAAGCTCGAGAGGTTTTCGATTCTTTGTTGATATATACTGAAAAGTTCCGTTTCTAATTTCGCACGATCCCTTACAACAGGGAAGGCTTTTAGTAGGGCAGTCTTGAAATTTTCGTAAGTATAGGTGGGACTTCCTGCTTGACCCAAGAGACTTCTGCCTATACATTTGAACCAGTTAAGCGCTTGGCCCCTCAAAGCGCTGGTAGCTAAGGTAACTTTTTGAAACTCGTGCACGGGGTAGGGTAGAGCATGAAGTGGTCATCCAATTTTTCCAAAAAACTGGTTACCGGTGAGTTTCCATTAAATGTTGCTTCTGGTTTCATCGAAGCGCGCATGGTCTGGACGATGTAACCAAATCCTTCCAGGGCGGCAGCTGGCATTTCTGGATTCTGAGCCGTTTCTGCAGGCAGCACAGGTTCTTCTTGAAACTCGGCCATGGTTATTCTTCTTCGTTGGGCGCCACTATCAGGGTCAATGGTCCTTCTTACCTTCTTCGGGAACATACAAGGACCTGACTCGGAACAGAGAGCTTACTAAAGCTATGTTCACTAATTGTGGTAAGTAGACAGGATACACATGAAGGGTATACAAAACCCCTTTATTTTTCTCTATATACAATAACTTCCGTACTTCGGAATACACTGACCCGCTACTTGGGGTCTAACGTAAAAGTATAAAAATAAAACTAAACTCTAATTTAACTTTAGAATAATAAACGTGGAAGATTGGCCTTATAGTATTAACAGGAAGCGTATGTAGTACAGAGAACTGTGAATACTACAATACGTTTAAAATTTATTAAGAGGATTAAAACCTCTGGCCTGGAAGGCAACAAGCAACTGCGTACTTCTAAGGTAAGCGGCCTGCTTTGACTCAACTGCTTCCTCTCTCTCGCTTGGCAAAAAGCCACAACTTAAATACTTGGCGTTCGCCAGACAACTTTGCATAAAAACCTTAACGCTTATAATTCTGGCCGGAAGTAGAAAATAAGAAGTGATAGTAAAGATTTAAAATAAAAATAAACGTTAGTAAAACTTAAGATCCTTACAAACTGATAACGTTGGCGTCTCTTTGGAATTTATTCAGAAAGGAAGCCACAACCAATGAGCAATTTCAAGTATTTTTTAATACTAAAAACTGATGAAAAATTAAAATTTATTGATTTAAAGGCACTTATTTATAGAAATTTGTTTAGTTTAGATGATTAGTTTAGTTTGCTTAGTTTAGATGAAAGAAAAGTACTTATCTTAAAATTCCAGGTTTTGGTAGTATATCCTTACATTGTTCGCTGTTTTATTCTCGTCAACTTCGGAGGGGAAATTCTTTGAACGGCTATAGGTTTTGTAGAAAAAACACTATTTCAAAGTAATTTAATTGATAATCACCAAGGAAAAGGGAATTTTTTTCACTTTTTTACGGTGCGCTGCGAACGTGCAGCCGCTTGCCTCGGTGATCGCAGCGCCACCCCGACACCACCAGTAAGAGAATAATTTGCAAGTAGTGATTATCAGTTACAAAGACGATGTCAATCTATATACATGATAATGTTTAGGAAATTATTAGATAAAATAGGGATTTAATGGTGGTTCTAATTGCAAGCGCGGACGTATACTTAGTTAAAAATCTTTAAAGTATTGACAAAAAGAAATTTCAGAAATTACTTATTATTTTATTGAACAGAGGAATTTTTATGAAAACTTAGACCCTTATCTTATAGCATAGGACTGTCAGAATTTATTATTCAATAAGAAAACTTACTGAAAATTATAATATTATGATATATTCATCACTGTTTCAGTATCCACACATGTTTATAGGTTCCAATGCCATACAAAATAAAAGTTATTTATGAAATAAAACCTTATAAAATCTGATAAATCATTTATGTGTGCAAATTTTTAAATCATAATCTCTTACATTAAATTATTTCTGTCTTTTAAATTACATCCCATTATTTATTTAAATTTAATTTATAATGTGTTTGTACTAATATTTCAAACTTCTTTGAAATACTTTTGGTGTCCTGAAAATGCCAAGTATTTCTATTAAAAAAAATAAATAAATGGGCATACAAAATAGTTAATAACCAGTATTATATGATTAATTCTTCATTTAATAGTTGATTTAATTGCCTTTAGCTTGTTTCATGTCTAAATTTTCTAGACAGATATCCTCTGTCTAATTTTCACTATCTTTTCAAAGATGAAAATTTTCAAAGAGGAAGGAATTAAAGCCTTGATTGTGCAAAACATATCTTTGAAGCTAAATGTATTCTAAGAAGTATGAAAAATGTAAACAAGATTTTGTCCCCCCCCCAAATCTGTCATTTAAACTATTCCAACCGTTCAGGAAAACGATAAACATTGTGAACATAAAAATCTGCACTTTTTTTATATATACTTTAATAAAAGGAAATGTGTTCCTTCTTTTTATATATATAAGAAAAGGAACCCATGTTCCTTTCTAATCTTTTGAAAGTCGCCAACGCTTAAAAAATAATATACTACGCCAAAGTAGTAACCCGTTTTTAAAAAAAAGATTCACTACAACAGTTCGCTTACGTAGAATCCATTCTGGTGCGAATAGCATCGGCCCACCTTTTGGGGAGCCAAAATTAAAATTTAGTATAAATATAGTATTTCTGAAGTATAAAAGGCCCTGTATCTCAAATAGCTTAGGGTCTTATCGAGTCTAAATTCGGCTCTTCATAGATCGGCAATGTGAGGCACAAGTGCGCCAGCATATCTTTTGCTTATTTTCAAGTGCGCAGGCTCAGTGCGTATGACGTTAATTTATGTTCTAGATGTTTAGAAGGTGATGTTGTTGTGCAACAATGTACTACTACTAGAATGGCAACGATCCTTTTTAAATTGCGGAAGACCTGGAAAGGTCACTGATTTGTGAGTTTAATTTTAAATACGATTTATTAAAAAAAAGATTTCCTTTTATTATGGACTTTGTATAACTGCAATATTTGTGCCGTTTATTTCATCATTTGCAAAAAATCTGCTTCCTGCCATGGTTGTGTTTGTTAAATGAATGATGTAACATTTGTAATAGTAAGCTTTGAAATTACCGGGTATTTGAAATTAGTAAGTTGTTCGTATAAAATTAGTACTTTTCCTATCAAATTAATTAACGTAAAATGGTTGATATTAAAGGTTTTATTCATAAAAATATGTATGTAGGTGTAAAAAAATAGAAAGTTAAAAATAAAACGAAGCATCATTGTTTTATAACAAAATTTTATTTTGAACCTGTGGTCTGTTTTTTTTTTATTTTTTATTTGTAATTAGTTTGTAAAAAATATTACTGCAACTCATTTTACCATAAAAAATAATTTTTAGCGAACGTTCCTGTTCTTAAATACGGATTTTACGAATTGGTTTCGTCGAAAAAAGATATTTTTAAATGCCTCCCGTTTAAATTTAGAGTTTTTTTAAACAAGTTCTTTGTGTGAAGTTCAGTAATTCTTTTCATTTGCATTTACTGATTTACTGTATGTTTATTAATTTATTTATTTATTATTATTTTTGCTTCAAATCATATTAAAATGTTTATTTTTTTTCAGCATATTTACATTTCAGTTCTTTTCTATTTTGAAAATTTGCATCTTATTAAAGTGAGTGTCGTCCTTTTTATTTTATTATTTTCTTTATTATAATATGCATGACATTGGTTTTAATTTGAAAACATTTATCGAGTATGTTATTAAATCTTCATTAAAATAGAGGTAGGCTATGTCCAGAAATATCTAATTAACTGAGGATAAAGAACTCTGAACAGCATGACCTCTTATGCTGTGACCAGTATCATGCATATTTTAATGCTTTGCTGGTACTTGTTTGTTAAATTGGTCCCTACACTTTGCTACCAAAATTGGTAAGCCAAATTTGTGACATGAGAATTTCGGATGTTGCCAGAAATTTGTGCAGTGGTTGCTTTATTGGCATGCTATTAATTTTATACTTGACGTAATTTTATACTTTTTGAAATCCTTGTATGTAGTTATTAATAAAAATTATTAAACTCAATACACATTCGTTATTAATGTTTTCTTATGTTTTGCTTTACTTAAACAATAAGACAGCTAAAAACTTCCTGTAAATAAAGCTTTAAATTTTTATTTATGTCAACTTTGTTACAAATCTTGGTACTTGCTTATTATCTGCCCCAGTTTCGATATTTAGTAGAATTGCTGTGCGCATCCAAAAATAGCCAACCTGTGCATGTGTGTAATACATACATTTGAATACATATGGATTTATAGTTTGCTGATCAATATTCTCCCAAATGCATTCTTTTTTTTTTTATTAAACTTTTTTTTTACCTTGTAAAATGGTTTTCTTTATTTCATTTATGAACAAAAACATGTCTATCAACCATAAAGAATAAAAAACATAATTTTTTTTGGCCAACTTATTAAGTTGCCATACAACTATTCCAGTTGCATAATTCTGTAATGTTAAAAATAGTGTGTAGTAGCAAATTTAACATTTTTCTTAAGCAAAGGGATAGTGTGTTAATTGTAGTGCAGTGAATTTTGAGAGAAAATAAAAGCATAAAGAAGATACTTGAAATTTTTTACAGATCACTTATCCATAATTCACTGAGATAAAATTTGCTGTCATGATAGGATTCTGGGTAGTAACAGTTAAATTTGCAGTGTGCACATTATAATTAGTGTACATGTGATAAATTCATAATTTTGGTATATACAGAAAATAAGTGGAATAGGTTGATCTTTGGATTATGGTAACTTGGCGATTTTTTGGCGACCAACTCTGCTACATTTTTTTTTTTCTGCCGCAAAGACATGTTTCTTTTCTTTTTATTTACTGAACACTTTTTCCAACAATCTACTAGCCAAATTACACTTATACTAAAAATTTTATTTAACAAAACTGCTTAATCATGACAAATATTCACTGCAAAATTGGGAAAAAGTGCACAATCGCAAACTCCTTGCGCGTTTTTCACAATAACATATACACATAAACCATATACATGTCGACTTATTTTTACTTAAAAAAAATCCCAGAATTGCACATAAATGGCATTGCGCACACTCTTCACTATATCCACGTACAATGCTTTTTTATCATAAATTAGAAAAATTTCATGAAAACGTAAGAAAATACTCAACATATACTACTCAACATATTCCAAAATACTACAAACATATAACTCACAAAATCACGATCATTAAATTAAAATATAATTAAATTAGAAAACACTACTTAAAATATAAATAAGCACATACATTAAATTAATAAAAATTAGATTACAATCCTAATTACTTTAAACTAAATCATTGCTAATAACAATTTTCAAATAATACCATTTTAATTTATTTACTCCTTACATTTAGAACAATGCATAAAAATAATATCCTCAAATGATTAAAAATACTAACTTACCTAATCTTCTTCAGAATCTTCATTACGTCGCTGCAGTACTACTGCTAATTTCTTAATCCAGTAGTCAACTGGAAGTCTGTCTATTCACCAAGTAATAAGAAATTAATAAAATTTCACCTATACTCAAACTACTTTCAGCAAACCACGTACCCTTCCTTACACTCCTTTTCACAAAATGTCCATTTTCACCATATTTCTTGCACCACCATTTAAACTTGTAATATCCTTCCTTTCACACAATCTCATTATTATTATCAGATAAACGCATTAAAAATTTAGAATTCACTTTACATAGTGCCATGCAATCCGAAAATTAATCAATACTATTTCACATAACACACAATGAAGCTTTTCCAAATTAACTTTTTTTCCGATTAAAGAACTGTAATTCGTCCATTAATGTCACATTTCACACAACACAGAATATAGCTAAATACGAAATTTCCAGATTTCCCCCCTTTTCCGATTAAACTGTAATTCGTCCATTAATGTCACATGACATATCTCATGATATCTCATTTTCCTCACACAAAATAATGCATAATCGGAACTGAGTGCTTCTCACATTATTACCAAAGTCCTAGGTAGTAACCTTTATCGCCTCCAAAATGTCGCCAAACTACCAGTTACCATATTCCAGAGATCAGCCGTGGAATAATATTCTTTACCTTATATATGATGAACGAAAAATCATTTTTATGGTCTTTTGAAATTTAAGTAAAGAAATAAATTTAAAAAAATTAGTATTTTATTATCTTATGCATTTTTTTAGGAATTATTCTGCGTTCTTATGCAATTGCAGATGCACCATTAATATAATTCTTGGTCAGACATCAATAACATTCTATTATAATAATTAAAAGTAAAGCTAATGTGTTAAGTTTTAGAATAGGCGAAGCACTTTTTGATGTTTTTATAATAAAATATTTAGTAAAAGTATATTTATGGGTATTCCTTGCCGAAAATTGGCGAATTTTGAGAGTACATGGATAGCATGCCAAATTTTCACTTACGTAAACATCTCAAAAATGCACAAACTAGGCATTGCACACTCCATTGACTTTTATCCATGTACACGTCGACCTATTTTTACCCCCCTCCAAAGAAAAAGACACAGAATTGCACAAACTTGGCCTTGCGCTCTCCCTTTGTTCATATACACATTGATATATTTTCACTTAAAAAGTCAAAGGAGCACCCATTTCTAGGCAAAAGTATATTTACGGAACATTCAACTACTCAGGTTACCATAAATGAAACAACAACTAGACAATAAATGAAACAACAACTTCATGATAATACAAAGGGTACTCTTCAGTCTGCTCAATATAGATGCATGTGATTTGCATACTTATAATTTTTAAGTAACATAATTATGCTAGCTAATTAATAATTAGATAATTGTTAATTATTTCTGGTTAATTACTGGTTACATTTTTTAGAGGTTAATCTTCGGATTATGGAAACTTGGCGATTTTTTGGTGAAAATTTGGCGACCAACCCTGCTACAGGAACGTGCTAGTTTTTTTTTGGATGCCATTTTTTTTTCACAAAGTAAAGGCATTTTTTTTTTACTCAATACTTTTTTTTCCAACAATCTGCTAGCCGAATTACGCTTATGCTAGAACATTTATGGAAAAAAGTGCTTAATCGTGACGAAGATTAGGTGCGAAATTGGGAGAAAGTGCAGAATCGCCCACTGCTTGCCGCGTTTTTAAGAATTGCACATACACGTTATCCATGTACACGTCGACCTATTTTCACTTAAAAAAAAATTCCAGAATTGCACAAAAATGGTATTTTAGACCAGTAACAATAGTAAGACCAGCTACAACTCAACTCTGTTTTAAGTTTATGTTTTTGAAAATAAGTTCTATCGTTTCTGTAAGAATAACTGCTTCTAAAATTTTTGGAAATATCTGCAATTAAAGTGTTTTTTCATATTAAATCCATAGTTATCTTCGAATCCTTTAAAATATCGGCGCCCCTGGTGGGATTTTGTTACTAGAGCTGGTCGACGTGTTAAAATTCCCAATAGACTTGATTTATAACTTTCCTATAAATTGCAAGGTGGGAGGTTGTTTGAGTAATACCAGCTACAACTCAACTCTGTTTATCGTCTGCATGTATAAGATGTCCTGCAGAAGTAAAGTCAAGGCAGGTAACCGATGAAGAAACGGTAGATTTTTTCCATAAAACTATTAAAAGAAACGAAGACAAAAGATATGAAGTATGTTTGCCTTGGAAAAGTAGACGTCCAGAATTAGAAACGAATAAGGAATTAGCCACTAAACGGTTAATGTCAACTACCAAAAATCTCATACGATCTGGACATTTAAGAGAATACGATGATGTGTTTAATGAAAGGGTTCAGGATGGAATTATTGAAATTGTAGATAAAGACGAGAAAAAGGGACATTATTTACCACACCATCCTGTGATAAAAACTGGTGCAACAACAACAAAAATTCGTCCGGTTTTTGATGCATCGACGAAAGATTCCAAAGGAAATTCCTTGAATAATTGTTTAGAAAAAGGGCCAAATTTATTAGAACAGTTAACCAAATTGATAATGCAGTTTCGGAAAAACGCAATTGGCGTAATGTCAGACATCAAAAAAGCATTTTTACGAATCAGTTTGAATCGAAGGGATGAAAGTGCCTCTACGCCCTGCAGCTAATGCTTCAGATTCCAGTGAAGATGATGATTCCTCACCCAAAGTCCAAGATTTTGTTACTAGAGCTGGCCAACGTGTTAAAATTCCCAATAGACTTGATTTATAACTTTTGTTGCAATTTATAGGTATCCTACAAATTGCAAGGGGGGAGGTTGTTTAAGTAAGACCAGCTACAACTCAACTCTGTTTTAAGTTTATGTTTTGAAAATAAGTTCTATCATTTCTGTAAGAATAACTGCTTCTAAAATTTTTGGAAATATCTGCAATTAAAATGTTTTTCATATTAAATCCATAGTTATCTTCGAATCCTTTAAAAGCGCACACTCTTGACTTTATCCATGTACACTGCTAAAGTCCTTGCTAGTAACCTTTATCGCCTTACCAAAATGTCGCCAAACTACCTGTTTCAAGATTCCAAAGATTAGCCTTTTTAGACATACTGAATATAGGCTTTTTAGAACAGGAAAATGAAAATAATTACTTTTTTATAATTTTTTTTATTTATCTTATATTTGGGAGAAAGTAATACTATACACACTATAAATATTGTTCAAAAAATAAATTTGGTAAGCATTGTATGAGATATGAATTAGTCAAAAAATTTTTTGTAGCATTTATTAGTATTTATTGCTTCATTATCATCTGTGAATGGTTTGGCATTTTCCAGATATGGTTAATATCTATGTTTTCTGAATTCTGTCACTTAGGTCATGAGAAATTTCTGGCCCTCTTTTGTAAAATTTTACAGAAAATTCACTGTATTTTTAGGATCTTTCAAATGTATGATGGTCTTTATTATAGTAGATGCCATAGCTACTGTATTTTATTGAATTATGTATGTTTTCCAAACAATATATTAGCCTTTTGCAGTACAGTAATGTTTTTATTTTATCTTTCAGTCAGATTGCATTATTCATATCATCTTTAGATCATATGCGATGTTCCTTTGGGTTGCTAGATTTTGAACATTTTGTTGGGAAATCGTTTGGATTAATCTTGTTCTTTTCTTATTTATTTTCTTTTACCTCAAGTTTTGTTTATTGCTGCCTCTTTCTTTTAATAGTTCCAGAAAGACACGGATGTTAATGAGTTATCAGTCTTTTAATGTTTATATGCAAATTATTTTAGATATTTATCATAAATTTTTACTTGAATTTAGTCTTGAATTTGTCTTGAATTTAGTTTGATGGCATGTACTGACTAATTCTTAAGAGACACTGAAAGTAGCTGTGTTGTATATCCAGGGCTGGCTCCAGATCTGCACTGGGTGTCAGAATTTAGGAGCAGCAAAGTTTCTAAAACTTAGAGTAGTAACAATCAGCAAAATTAAAGGATGATAAAATTTTTAATTTAGAAGAGGCTCTAGGCAGCAGACTTTCTGGTAGCAAATTGTTTTGAATTTAGGCTGGTGCAAGGTAGCGGAATATATGATCCACAGAGATTGCACTAGGAAGAAAAAATGCTTACCGCTCGCTGGCCCAGTGTGTATCCTTAAAATATATATGTGTTTTTTTATATGGACTTTCTTTTTATAGAATGATGACTCATTCTCAAGATGAGCGATCAAGTGAACAACCTATGTTTGATTATACAGCAGAAAGTAGCATTCAGAAGTTAGCTCGGAAATCAAAAGATAATCCCTTAATGGTTATAGGTAAGATAGAAAATTAGGTACTATTCTGTTATTGGGACCAAGTCCAGAAATGTATGTATGCACATATGTATTGATGTATGTGTTCATGTATGCATGTATATACATATGTATCTGTGTGTGTACATACAAACATATACATGTGCATCATACATATATACACTTCTGAATCTGGTCCTGGTAACAGAAGAGTACCGAAAATTATTATGAATATTCTTTTTTAGTTATATTGTAACAGGTAAATTTTTGTTTAATGTTTGATTTTCATGTATCTGAAAAATTTAATCAGTGTAGCAATTTAAATTTTATAGAATGAATTCTTAAAATCATATTTAAATTTTTTATTGTTATCATCTATTTGATACTTAAAATGATAGGATATATTAATTAGTGTAAGGTGAAACACGAGCAGAACTTGACAATCAGTGGTTGTTCTTTATGTGTATAAGAGCAGACCCTGATTAATTACCTTAGCTATCAGTATCCAGGGCCACAAAATTATCCTGTAATTAATAAAATGCATGGCCATTAACAAATAAGACAAGATTATTAGGAAGATAATTTTTTAAAAGGAAATGTCTTAGGGATGTTTAACCACACTTTGTGAAGTTTTGATATCAGTTAGTTTTAATTGTTATCTAAGTAAGGAACAAAAGATAGTGGAGGGCAGGAAGGAAAGCATTAAACATTTTACCCCCCCCCCCAAGCCTCACTGAATTCTAAAAATTTTACCACCCAGTATAATTACAGTAGTTGCACTGGCTCTGCTGCTAACTTAAAGGAGCGAGCATTTGAAGATACTCTGATTATATCCTGTAATTTAAAAGATTTGGTGAATGAAGTGCCCAAGAAAGAAAATCATCTTGATTGAGAAACTCTAAAAAAGATCTCGGTGAAATGTAGGATTCATTATCTTGTTCAAAAAATGGGATTCTGCTATGTTCCAAATAGATTAATAGTCTATCTTTTTAGGCATATTTTCAGCATATTCATTTTTCAAACTTAACAATCAGACTGTCACTAATCATCATTCAAATTGATGGACTTTCTTAATTAAGGACTTTATGCATGATGATACTGTCAGTTTTAACCCATATTCAAATCTTAAGATGCATACTAGATTACATCATTTGGCAGCCTACCTCTACATGTTGAATGCCCCTTTATTAGTACCTTCCCACCTTCCTTTTCTCTTCCACACACACACACACACAAATAAAATAAAAAAAAAAAAAAAAAAAAAAAATAAAAAAAGTTTATTTAAGATAATGTTACATCAATCTGCTAACTCGATGTTTTTTTTTTTTTTTTTTTTTTTTCCCTGTACTGCTGTAGATGTTCTGACAGTTACATGAGATCAGGAAAAAGCAGTCAAAGAATGAAAAATATTCATACCTATCATTCAGTTGACTCTGAATACTAGTGGTGGACATGAAAACAAACAGCAATTGTTTTCACAATATTTTAGCCTTAAAATTACTAATCATTGCATTTCAGTATCTTCCATATATTATATGCCTTTTCATATATGTTGAATTATAGAATTATCTTAATACTGAGACTAGACTGTATAACTAAAATACCACACTTACACGCTCAAAAAAAGAAAGTAATATTAATAATAAAAATGAAATAAAATAAAATAAAGTGCATTTAGTTTTAGTACTATGTGATATCAAAGGCCTTTATTATGTTGCCATTTTTACTTTCCTAAACCTGTTAAAATTAACCTTCTTTATGACTCTTGGGCACAGTTTAAGAAAATTAATCTCTTGTACAGATGGTCATCTTTGAGAATATGGGTAGTGGTGTTTATTTAGTTTTATGACTTCACTAAAGTTGGCAATATATATATTTATTGTTGCAAAGAGAAAATTAACCATATCAACTAGAAAAGCACTGTGCTTCACATCTACACTGTGTGGGCATATTGATATGGCTGTCCTAGTGGGAAATATGAGATGAATCTTTTGTCATGCACAGGAAAGAAATTTTGGTTCAAGGCAGATTTTTTTGACTGTCTGGCCACAGAAAACTCTTAGGCTACTATCACACATTGGTTTGTTTCGAAAGAACAACTGTTTGGAACAATTTTTCTGCTTTGTCACAACAGCCAACCACCACAGATCGCTTTGGGGTTAACACAGGGCAAACTGGTTCTCCATTACAAACAAGCCAACAGCATTCGACACTGATAGCCGATTAGTTGAAAACGAACAACTTGCAACTTTTTACGAAAGGAAGGAAAAAGTCGCACGTCTATCTTTCAATAGTAAACCAGGCAGAAAAATTGTCCAAAACAGTTGTTCGTGTGAAACAAACGCCGTGTGATACGGGCTTTAGAGTGCCGGCAGAACACTATTTGTCTATCCCTGATTATATGCATTCTTCTCATTGAAGAAAAAGAACATTATTGCCAGAAGTTGTCTGAAATATTGTAATGTCCTGAGTAGCATAAAATACTATTAGCAACATCGACAATTATATGATATTTTGAACTTTATTACTGACAACTATATATTTACAACTAATACGGCAGTAAAAATTTTACAGCTATCTCAGTGAAACTTTTATTATTGTTTTACGCAATTATTAGGTATTTGCATAACTTGTTGCGAGTGATGTGGAAGTTGTATTCTAGCAGTTTTTGTTCTGTTGACAGTTCAAATGTAAAGGTGTATTTTGTGAAGAATTTTTGGAATAATTTGGAACAGTTTAGAAATAAATACCACTAAGTAATTTTATTTTTTAGGAGTCAAATCAGTATGGTAGAGCACTTGCCTGCTTTTCATTTAGTGAACAAATCAACAAGGTAGTGTTATTTGTAATTGGGGCATTTCCCTCTTCTCTGAAATGTTTGCCACTTTCTGACATTATTTGTTTTATTTTGCATCGCTGTTCTAGTAAGGCAGGGGTTCTTGACTGGGGTAAGAGCAACTTTCATAGTTTCAGGGAGTGTGCAGTCAGCCTTTTATTTAGCTGTTAAATATTTAGTTTATAAATATAGAAACTACTTTTATTGAAGTTTTGGAACTTATCAGCATTTTTTATACATTTTGTCTTTCAATTTATAAAAACACCAGTTAAAGAATAAACTAAATCTTTAAGTTTTGGAAAGGGGGAGGGCAATCTTCTAGCAGTGGCAAAAAAAGGTGCATGGAGAAAACAGATTGAAAAACACCGTTAGAAGGCAATTCAGATTCGCTACATGTCTTACAGAGACCTTGATTATACTATCATGGGCATATTCAGTATGTGTCCAACTTTGCAATTAAGGTATGAAGTAATTTTGGCTGAAATGTGATAATTGTGAATATCAATAGATTCTATTTCTTAGAATTTTGAAATAAGGTCTAGATAAAAGAATTTATTAGAGGCTCTGTTCCTAACTTGCTACTTCTGGTCTCGCAGTATAATCTACTCAGATGCTGACCGTATATATGACATCTGTTACACATTTCAATTTTGTTTTTAAAGTTTTCTTTTCTGTCAAACAATTTTGTAAGCTTTAAAACATGTAATATAACTTTTGTTACACTGGTGCTGATAATTTGCTGTTTACTAAGACACTTTATATTTAAAATCATGTAAAATTTAACCCAGATATTGATTTCATGGCAGAAAATCTTTGCAATTTGGAAGAGACAGGCGTAGGATCTTTCAGTGAACAGCCATTTTATCAGTACAGTCAAAAGTCGTTAATTCGGACACCTATAATCCGGACCTCAAAGCTACAAACTTTCTGCGCATGCGCCGCATTTACGCGTGCGCGTAAGACCTTTACGGCCGAATATGCGTGTGCGCATGCGCGTTTGTTTAATGTATAACGGACGGTATAAGCTAAGCTAAAATTATCTAATTCAGTTAATGTTGCAGATTACGTTGTTTCTTAATCTTCAAATTGGATCCGGTTTATTATTTTTGGCAGACTGTCAGAGCAGTTTTATAAAAGTAAGTTTGAACTTTCGATTATGTCAAATAGAATTTCGGATATATATTTACTAATATATAAAGGATCTACAAAGTGAAAGTATGTTTCGAAGTCCATTAAACAAAAAGTGGAATTGCTGCAAAAAATGGATAAAGGCATATCCTTTGTTTCTTAACCATTCCGAAATCTGTTTATCAATTTCATGCTGCTCTGAGGGGGGGGGGACATCGCGGCACGCAATGAACTGGAAGTTGATCTGTCAGCACTATCCTTATCTTCAGGGAGATGTTTTTATTTTATTCAGCTTATAATTCCTTACTAAATGTAGTATTTCATCTCGATGTATTCCGTCTTTGATATGATTTAAATCAAATTCCTTATCATTATAAATATCACGAGTACACATCAAATAGTTTTCTGGTTGCAGTTTTCTAATTTTGACTATGCGTAATGTATGCTTTACGCATGCACGCGTTGAAAGAAATGTTTAATAAAGTAAACAAATATTAAGCTTTTTTTTTTTGTAAATTTTGATACCCTTTAGATCATAATTGTTCTTTATTTCATAAATTATGGTTTCATATTTTTAATTTTGTAATTTCTGCATGCCATCTTACCAAATTTAAACCGATGATCTATAATCCGGAAAAATCGATAATCCGGAATCGCTGAAGTCCCGACGAGTTCGGATTAACGACTTTTGACTGTACATATTTCTTTCCTTCAATAGATGTTTCAGTTTTTTAAATAGACGAGATTGTATAATACGTAATTATAAGTCTTGTCAGTATCATCATTAATGTTATAAGAATTAAAACTGGTGTTATAAGATTGTTATATAAAAGTAAAAGCCTATTGTCATTTTAATTTTTAAATATAAATTTAATTAATGTATTGATATGTAATCAGTTCTTAGTAATGATATTTTTTTAAAAAAAGTAAATTTAAATGAATATTTTATTATTTCAATGCAATTACTGCTCTACCAGAGTTTTTTTATGCATCTAAGTAAATATTTTGTGTGATGTATATATATATGTGTGTGTATTAATGCTCATTTTTAGGACTCACAGGCTGCTTCTTTGTTGCTACCTATGGAATCTACAAGTTCAGACATCGTGGAAAATTATCAGCTTCTAATTATTTAATGCAGCTGAGAGTAATGGCACAAGGAACAGTTATAGGTTGCTTGACACTTGGTATAATGAAGTCAATATATGATAAAGTAGCATCTAAAAAATCAGAGTGATGCTTATTTATTATATTGAGATACAATAATTTATGATGTAATAAATCAGCTTTCCCCAATCAATATTTCATTAGTAATTATATGTATATGTAGAATTTCCTAAGTGCATTTTGCTCTTTTTTGGATTGAGTGAAACGGATACTGAAAGAAACTGAGAGCAGATCAGATGTTTGAAATATGTAATATATGCACATAGATATGTACAGATTTATTAATATGTACTGTATTAAAGTGATTTTTTTAAATTTGTGATTTTATGTATTTTAATTACATAGCTCTGCATACTTAAAGAAAACTGCTAAATTATAAAATGATTAAAAAAAGAAGTTAGTGATAAAATAATAATCTCAAATAAATTTTTTATGCAGTCTTAAAATTCTGAATACAAGCATTGCAAAATTTAACTTTAAAATTTAAAGTCTGACTATTTTCTAGTTCTTTTAAAGTAAAAAAAAAAAAAAAAAAAAAAAAAAAAAAAAAAAAAAAAAAAATTGGACAAGTTTGAAAGTATTTAATTTACTGCATTAATATATTGCAATTTTTAAAATTAAATCATCAAAATTATCATTTTTAAAGTGAACAGAAATTATCAGTCACCTTCAGCAGAAAATCATATGTTACAAAGCCATATATTGTGAGTATAATGACATGGCAATAAGTGTGCATAATAGTACCTAACTTATGCTATAATTTTGAACTATCATTTTGTATGCAATAAGTGAATGTTTTCTTCATAAATGTCACCATTATGCATAATTTGTGTCATTATATAGTGAAAGCAGATATGATTTTAAAGTTTTTATTGTGTACAAGAACTTGAAACTAAAGTTAATTGGTATATATATTTGTTTGAATGGAATGAGGCAAATAATTGTAAAGTTAAACAAAACACTGAGGATGTATTTAATGCGTAAAATATTTTTATAGTCATCTTTTTGAAAATTTTTGGACATGTGACATTGTTAAAAAATTAGATGTAGTGAACAGCAAATCCAAAATCTTGATGCTGAAAAAGTATTTAACACACAGATTATTTTCATAGTCATGTGGCTGAAAATTTTCAGACATATGACATTATTAAAAAATGCAATGTCGTGAATAACAAATCCAAAATCTCTGAAACCAAATTTATCTAATTAAAGGAATATAATTGTCAATATAAAATAAGATTTTTGCTGTTATATCTCAATTTCTTTGCAACACCTTTAATGCTAATGTTTTAAAAAATCCCTTTATACCATTTATTCATGTCATGCATGCAGTGTAGCTGATTGTAAGGAATCTTATGATGCTTCCATTAATATTATAAAAAGCAAGAGTGAATGAATAAAAAATATTGTTTGATAGTTGAAGAAACTATAAGTAATCTACTTGAAGTTTTTATGTGTAATTTTCAAAGTAAACTTTGTTTTAGTACCGACTGTTTAATCAGTATGTGATAATTATCATGCAATAAAATGATCCGGTAATTAATTTTTCATTATCTTATTTCATTTCATCTAATTTTTACTAATAGTAATGCTATTTCTCATTCCTCTGTTAATAAAATCTGATATTCTTCACTGGTTGTTATATTTAAAAAAAATATTGAGAGTAAACTATTTTAAACATATAAAATTATTTAAAAGTTTTAGGATATTACAGAAAACTGTTTTATTTATCACAAGTCATCCATATCTTCTCAAGTCTGCTAGCATACATTGGTTCTTCTTTAAAACAAATTTATACATCTATATTTGTGACATACATAGAAGTGTTCAAACATAGATATTCTATTTGTTGTTTGACTTCTGAAATAGATATTCTAGCCAAGTATAAAATTATTTTTGACAGTCTTTCATAAATTTATTCTGTTAATAAGACTTCTTTGTTGCTTACGCTAATTTATTTGTTGCACTTTGCATAAATTATAATGAGCATTTAATTTTATGCATTGCAGGTATCCAAGACGATTTTTAATACAGTCATTGCATGGGCTGTTATGCTCTTAGCTCCTACAATAGGCATATGTTGGAAATTCACTATTGTTCACGATATAATTTGCATTTCTAATAGTAGTTATTAGAAAAGCCTTTTTAAAAATTGAGCACTTGTCAGATATTAGAAAGAGATCCTTTCTAAAAACATTCATGGTGCTAGTAAATTGTTATTTTTTCAGTATATCTGTTAAAATACTGGATATTTGTTTATATTAAATTGAATGTGTACTAAGCAAATCATTATCCAAAATGCAAAAAAATTTTTTTTAATCAGTATTTTTAAAATCATGCAAGACAAAATTTTGTTTCAATGTTAGGAAGGTGCGATCTTATCTATCTTACAAAATTTGATAGTGATCTATTTAACTCACATAAAAAGATTTTTATTATTATTAAAAAAATGATAAAAATGTTATCACTTTATGATACTTGTTATGCAGAAAAATTAAATGTGCAATAATAATTCTTATAAATTATTTTCATAAATGAAATTTTTAAACTACTGATAAAGTTTTAAGGCATTTATGCTGTATGTATAATTCATGTGCAAAGATATGTATATATATGATGTGTATATATGTATGTATGAATCCTGAAAGCAAATTGACACATTAATAAAAAAATATAAATTATTTTAAATGTTTAAAATTTTTAAAATTAAAATGTGAAAGTACATGGGTCATGATCAGTATTATTTAGAAAAGTGGTACATTCTATTTTAAGTCTAATAATATTTTTTTAAAATAACAAATGCTGTTGCAGATAAGCATATTTTAAGATGAATTTAGTTAATGCTACAGTTGCAGGTATGAGTGGATGGGACACCAGAATTTCACCATAGGTTTTACAGGTATAGTCTCATCGCACTAACTGTGAATCTGCACCTGTTAAGGGAAAATGTCTCGAGAGTGGTCTGAGAGTCTCCCACCTGCTTCTAACACCAATCACTTGAGAGGACTTTCAGCTTGCAATATATTTTGAGTGCCCCCTTGTTACACAGACATCATACACTTACGAACATCCATGGTTGTCCAAGATTCAAAGCAGGCCTATTGTTATGATGCCCAATGTCTCTAATCACTATACCATCTGGGCAGTAATTAAACCTAGTACTTATGTTTGTCTATATAGTGATTTGAAGGACTTAGTTAATCTTTTATCACGTTTGGAAAAAGATAACTACCTGAAGTTGTGAATATTCGTAATAAGAATAATTGCTTTGTTTGGAATATATTTATTTGCAAATAGTTTTTTAGTTAAAATTAAGATTCTGAGAAAAGAACAAAACTGGTATCTGCCAATCATGATAATGAAAATTTCTAGTAATTTTTCTCCAAGCTTAAAAACTTATCAAAATCAAAATGCCATGAACTGTTATAACTGAAAGTTGTCATAAGGAATAAAGAAGTTTATAATTATTTACATAAAAATACATGCATTTTTTTTGTAGGTGCTTGAGGAAAAATTCATAAATAAAAGTAAGGTAATAGGATGTCATTATTTATTCTTTTGTCTTGCTTGGAAAGTTTTTCGCAATCAAATTAAAAGTAAGTTATTTAGTTTAGTTCAAATCTTGAAAAACTGTTAGCTATCAATAAATTTGAACTAGAAAATGTGACCAACAGAAATTTTACAGATATCATTTCTTGCATATAGATATTGCACAGAAAATAAATATAAATTGAAAATTTTTCCTTCTTCCATTTTTATTACTGCTTAATGTATTTTTGGTTAATATTTAGTAAATACAAATTTTAATTTATTTAATAAAATTGTTTCATTAAAAAAACTTTTTCATTTTTGTTAAAAAATCATCTTACATGCAGTTTGAGTTTGAAATCATTGATTTTCACGACCAAAATAAAAATTTAACCTGGAAGAAACTGTGCCCAGTATGTGTTGCAGGCAGAGATTTAACAATGGAGTTAACCATGAAGACATTGAAGAGTTACTAGAGGACCACAGAAAATAAGTACAACAAGAAAGAACATCAAAAGGCAGTTTTGGATTAAGTATCTCCTTTGATCTGCAAAATTTCATGTAATAAAAGTTACTGGGAAGCATTTTCTTGTAACTTTAGCAGGTTTTATTTTAGAAACATTTAGACTGCAAAAGTTTATATTATTTATTTATTTTTTAATTTTCGTTGGACAATTTTTGAGTGAAACTGAGGCTCAAGTGAGTTTGGAATAGAATCAAGTGATGCTAAGAGACAAAGAAAAGACTGAATCATCTTCAGAAGCAGTAGCAAAAGCTAATTGTGGAGAAAATGTTTTCAAAGAAAGAGAAACATAAACCTTGTTCTTTACTCTGGGAAATTTAACAAAAAAGAGGTAGTTTGCAGAGTTTCATATAATGCTATCACTTCCGATAAAGCAGTGGCAGCAAGTTACAGTAAAGCATTTGGCAATGCCATATTTCACTTTAGAAACATTGCAAATTGTAGATAACAACAAATCGTATTGGGCAAATTAGAGAGGGTGCAGTGAATCTCATGTAGAATTGTGTGGTGTCAAAAGACAAAATTAATAAAAAATAGTCTCCCAGTATGGCAGTTACCTGATGTTTTTATAAAAAGAAACTTTTCCTTATCATTTTCCATTTATGCCTTCCACCATATGGTCACGGTAGAATTAAGTTTTCGTTTGTGTATCTCTTTGTCTTAGATTTAATGATTTCTGTTATTTTTGTGGTATGAACTTGTATGCAGAATACTGCTGTAAATTTTAAATAAGTCATCTGTGGCCCAGGAGCGAATTAATCTATTTGCATTCATTCCTGTGGGGAAGAAGAAATGTCTACTTTATGAACTTTTTGGACGAGAAATGGCATTCATGAGCGAATTAAATTCACGAGCAAAGGTTTCACCGTATATATTACCTTATGTGCAAACGCTACGTTATCAGTCAGAATATTATGAATCATCCTCCTAATAGCGTGATGTTCCACTTTTGGCATGCAAAATAGCTTCAGCTCCTCGTACTATCGAGTTCTGATAAGTATGCTGAGGGAGATCGTATCAAGTACAGGTCATGCAATTCTCGCTGCCCATGAAGGGAGTGATTGGGAGCTCTGAATTCACACTCCATGACATTGCATGAGTGCTCAATATGATTAATATCTGATGAGTTACGATATAAGGTATTTCTCCTACTTTCCTAGCGTGCCTTCGTGGTGTAATGGTAGCACGCTGGGCCGGTATTCCAGAGGTCCGTGGTTCGATTCCCAGCGAAGGCGGTTGCATATTTTTCATCTATTCTGCTTCC